CGTGCCGTGCTCACACAGATGCACCAAAAACGGCAGGAAAATGCACCAGGGCAGGGTCTAAGAAGGAAAAGCCAACAGACAGCTGCTGTTCCTGGTAGCAGACATCTCATGCCCTTCCCTGGCTGCACGGCCACTTCCCAGAAGACACAGTGTCTCTGCTGGACAGAGGCCAGGAGCCTGCGGCTATCCCAGACTGGGGCCCAGCCCACAGGGTCCTCGGCCTCCTCCTCTGGTCACCATGCCCAATCTTCTTCCTTCACCAAGGTCATTCAAGGAGAATCCACTGCCTCCCACAAAGGGCCCCTTCAGGGTATCTCTCTAGAAGGGCTGGGCCCTGAGGAACACAGGCAGGGCCAAATGAATGTCTGTGAAACCAAAGTGCTGTTCCTAAGCTGACCCTATTCCTCCTGCCTCCCTGGGTTAAGGAGGTCAGGGCAAGATGTATCGAGACAGGGACTCCTGTCCCTCAGCCCTGGGCCCTTCAGTGTATCTGTGACAGTAAAGAGAGAAAGAGGAGCTGCTGCGTCTTACATGTCACATATTCCTGTTCTCTGCCCACGTTAGCCAAAGGGGTGAAGATGATGTGATGTGTTAGTAACACCAAACACTTTAAGACACCGTATTCACCAGACAACATTACAAGCATTAGCTCAAAGAAACATCACAACTCCATGAGATGTTGGTTACCACTGTCATTTTACAGATCAGAAAAGAAGAGGTTCAGGCTTATGCTATTGCCCAAGACCCAACAGCTAACAAAAGCATACCTGGAACTATCACTAATTCTGCTGATTCTATGCTCCTTCCACTCTTTCTTGCTGCCTCCCTGGCACGTGTGGAAATGGACAGGGACTAAGGGAAATACAATTGGAGGCCCCAGTTTATTCCTAAAATGCAGAGATGGTTCAACATATGAAAATCAATCAATATAATATGCCACATTAACAAAACAGAGGAAAAAACCACATGATCATCTCAACTGATGCATAAAAGGCATCTGACAGCAACATCCTCCCGTGAGGAAAACATTCAACAAGTTCGGAACAGAAGGAAACTACTCCAATATCACACAAAAAACAAACAAACCCACAGCAAACATCATACTCAATGGTGAAAGACTTAAAGCTTTTCCTCTAACACCATGAACAAGGCAAGGATATCCACTTTCACCATTCCTATTAACATAGTACCGGAAGTCCTAGCCAGAGCAATTATGCAAAATAAACAAATCAGTAAAAGGCATCCAAATTGGAAAGGAAGAGGTAAAATGATCTCTGTTCACAGATGGTGTCATCTTATACACAGAAAACCCTCAAGATTACACATAAAAACTGTAAGAACTAGTAGATTCTGCAATGTAGCAGGACACAAGGTTGACACACAAAATACAATTGCATTTCTACACGTTAGCAATAAAAAATCTGAAGAGGAAACTAAAAAACAACTCCATATCATAATATCAAAAGGAATAAAATATTTAGAAATTAACCAAGAAAGAAAGAAACTCATACAATAGAAACATTTCTCAAAGAAATTAAAGAAGATATAAACATGGAAAAAATAGTCCAAGTTTGTAGATTGAAAGACCAAATTTTTAAAGAAATTAATGCTACCCAAAATTATCTACAGATTTAATGCAATCCCTATCAAAATCTCAATGACATTTTTTTGTAGAAATAGAAAAATCTACGCTAAAATTCATATGGAATCTCAAGGGACCTTGGATAGCCAAAAACATCCTGAAAAAGAACAACAAAGTGAAAGGACTCAGCTTCCTGACTTCAAATTTTACTACAAGGCTGAAGTACCAAAACAGTGTGTGATATAAGAACAGAGATATATTCACCAATAGAGTAGGGTCAAGTCCAGCAATGACCCTCACATACATGGTCAAAAGGTTTCTGACTTGGGTGCCAAGACCATTCAATGGGGGAAAGACAGTCTTTTCAACAAATAGTGCCAGGAAAACCAGACGTATGCATGCCGAAGAATAAAGGTAGACCCTTACTTAATGCCATGCACAAAATTTAACCAAACTGGATCCATGACCTACACGTAAGACCTAAAACTTCAAACTCTTAGAAGAAAACAAAACAAAAGCTTGATGACATTGGATCTGGCCATGGTTTCTTAAATCAAGGCACAAGCAACAAAAGAAAAAAAAATAGACAAACTGGACTTGACAAAAATTTACAACTTTTGTGCATCAAAAGGCACTATCAACAGAGTCAAAATTCCACAGAATGGGAGCAAATATTTTCAAATCATATATCTGATAAGGAATTAATAGAGACGTCCTAAAACTCAACAACAACAAAAAAGCGAACAATCCAATTCAAAAATGGGCAAATAGCTTGAACTAACATTTCTCCAAAGAAGATACACAAATGGCCAGTAAGTACATGAAAAGACACGCAACCTCACTAATAATTAGGAAAATGCAAATCAAAACTACCGTGAGATGCCACCTCACATCCATTAGGATGGCTACCATTTAAAAAAAAGAAAGAAAATACAAGTGCTGGTGAGGATGTGGAGAAAGTGGAACCACTGTGCGCAGTTAACAGGAATAAAAATGGCACAGCTGCTGTGGAAAACAGTCGAGTGGGTCCTTAAAAGAGTAAAAATAGAATTCCCATATGACCCAGCAATTCCATCTCTGGATACACACCCAAAAGGATTGGAACTAGAACCTTGAAGAGTTATTTGTGAACCCATGTCCATAGCAGCATTATTCACAATAGCTAAAATACAGAAGGAACCCAGGTGTTCATCAGTGGATTAATAGATGAGCAAACTGTGGTATATACACATAATGGAATATTATTCAACCTTAAAAAGGAAGGAAATTCCGTCACGTGGATGAACCTTGTGCCCAGCAGCTGGGAGATGGATAAAGGCTGAGGAGGAACACAAGAGTGCCTCTGGTGAGGTGCAGCATCCTGGCCGGGAGCTGTGGGTCATGCCTGTAATCCCAGCACTTTGGGAAGCTGAGGCAGGTGGATCACCTGAGGTCAGGAGTTTGAGACCAGCCTGGCCAATATGGTGAAACCCTGTCTCTGTTAAAATACAAAAATTCAGCTGGGTGTGGTGATGCGTGCCTATAGTCCCAGCTACCCGGGAGGCTGAGGCAGGAGAATTGCTTGAATCCAGGAGGTGGAAGTTGCAGTGAGCCGAGATCATGCCATTGCACTCCAGCCTGGACAACAAGCAAGACTCCATCTCAGATAAAAAAAGAGTGCCTGTGGTGAGGCTGAGCATGTTTCCATGTCCTTATTTGTTCCAGCTGCAACATGGATGAACCTTAAGGACATGATGCTAAGTGAAATAAGCTAGTCGGAAAAGGACAAATACCATATGATTCCACTTATATGAGGCACAGAGAGCAGTCAAAATCAGAGACAAAAAGGAGAATGGTGGTTGCCAGGGGCTCCGGGAAGGGGCAAATGGGGAGTGAGTGTTTAATGATGGTGATGATGACACAGCAACATGGATATACTCGCCTTGCCACTGAAATGTACACTTAAAAATGATGCTAAATTTTGTTATGTGTCTTTTAACACACTAAAAATATTGGGGAGGAAATGGGTTTTAGTGACTGGAAAAAAATGTTGGCCCTAACTCCTGACCAAGCTGGGCTTACCTGATGAAGGTGCTCCTACCCAGACCAGAGGAGAAGAGCCCAGAATACAGCTTTTAACACTTGGGCATGCATTATTCCCTTTTCCCCCCTCACATTTTCTTGCCCAACTCTGTTCTGCTCACTAGGAGTGAGATTGGGTAAGGCTGGGACCCTGGGCCTGTTAGGAGCAGGGGTCCTGGCATGTCTGTTAACCACTGTCAGATCCCAGCTGTTCCCAGCGATGCCCCATCACTCCCAGCTGAGCTCTGGCATCAGCACAGGCACACTCCCTCCTGAGCCTCTGTTCATCTCACAGCTGCTGGGCGCCCTGCTGCCCTTTGCCCAGCATAATACCAGTGCATTTGTGTTGAGCACTGGATGGAGTCCCAGACCAGCTGTAGGTTATCCTGCCCACTGGAGCTCAGCTCACGGGGGATGCCAACAGAACTACTAGCCGGCAGCCTTTCACCGTTGGGCTGCAAAGCTGCAGATCATCTTTTTTTTCCCATATGGCTCAGAATCAGATGAGCGTGCAGAATCAAAATAAAGACCACCCCTACTCAAAAATGTATCTGCCTCCACAATCTTTCCCAAGGAGAGACGTTTAAATGTCACGACATCACTACAAGAGAAACACTCCCAATCATAGCAGTCATTTATATCTTGGCCTGAGTTATTTAATCAGATTGTTTTCCACGGCAGAGAAATCTGCCTGCATTTTGGTGGAGAAATTGGTGGAGAAAGAGAGTAATTTTGGAACAAGGTGTAATTTTAGAAACAACGGCACCCTTACCCTTCCAGTAACCAAATTCACAAATATTTACTGATGGCCTCTTGTTTTTCAGGCACTTTACTCATCACTGAGGGCACTGCAGTGGGCAAGACAGACACAGACGCGGCCTCCCTGCCTGACGGCGCTTACAGCCCCACCAAGTTTCCAGGGTTCCTCTCTCCTTCCCCATCTCCGCACTGCATCTGTGGCAACGTCCTAGCCATGCCTGCACCTGCAGTATCTCTCTAACCGGAACTTCCTTTCCATCGCTCCTCTGGGTAACTTACCTCACAGTGCAGTAGTTGGACCCGTCTTTACCTGTCTCTTCCTTCTCCTCTGTCCTGGACAATGATGGCTGCATGACTAACCTTTCTAAAGTGTATTCTGAATACCTCCCTCCCAAACTCAAAGGCATTCAGTGTTGCCTCTATATCCTATTTCTTTTTTTAAAATCCAAACTTTTTGTGGCATATGAAAACCTCTAAGTGTACCCCTTGTCTACCCCTCCAGTTTCTTCTCATTCTTTTCAGCTAAGATGGTCTACTTTCTGTCTTCTGCCACGTGTGTATCTATCTGCGTGCCTTAGATTCTGTTCCTTCTACTTACAATGTCCTTCCCCGCTTCCTTGTTTATTCCAGTTCTCAACCCTGGTTGTACCTTAGGATCACACGGAGAACTTCTGAAAAAAAAGAAAAGAAAAAAGATGCCTAGAAATCAACTAAGTCACATTCAGTTCTAAACTCAGAGGGTGTAGCCAAGGCATCGGTAATTCTGAGAACCTCCCCCACTAATTCCGATGTGCAGCCAAGGTTAAGAAATGCTATCTTGGTCCAGCTACCACTCTGTGTAGACCCCTTTCTCCAGACTCCAAAGGCACCTGTTACCTGTCGCTGGCACTGATGTGGATACAGCACATTCTGTTTCATGTTCACTTCATTAAGATTCTCCTATTGGAAAAGTCTCTGTGCTACCCCATGACCTGTCCTCACCTGAAAGTCCTGGCGGATGGATTTATATGCTTGTCTTGAGGAGCAGGGAGAACATAGCTCCAATCTCCAGGCCTTGACACTGTGCTGCATGGGGGGCATCAAAGGGATGGAAAACTCAGTCCCGTCAACGTCAACAGCAATGAATCATGATGATTGCATCCTCTGGATGTGATGGGATGAAATCGGCACTTGCCTCTGTGATCTGTCTCCCTAAAACCCATCACTCCAGCCTAATCATGAGGAGAACGTCAGACAAATCCCAACAGAGCCACGTCCTACAATGCACTTGACCAGAGACCCTCAGAGCTGTCAAAGTCATCAAAAGCAAGGGAAGCCTGAGAAACAGTCACAGCCCAGAGGAAACTAAAGAGAAATGACTCAACGTAGTGTGGCATCCTGGATGGGATCCTAGAAGAGCAGAAGGACATAAGGTACCAGCGAAGGACATTTTAATAAAGTGTCAGTGTTAGTCAGTACTGTTGTACCAATACTGGTTCATTAATTGTAACAACTGTACACCCTAATGCAAGAACTTAGTAATAGCAGAAACTGCATGCCAGGGGAGAAAATTGGAACTCAGACGATCTGACCAAGTTTTCTGTAAATCTAACTGTTCCAAAAAGATAGTCTAAGGCCAGGTGAAGTGGCTCATGCCTGTAATCCCAGCACTTTGGGAGGCTGAGGTGGGCAGATCACCTGAGGTCAGGAGTTCAAGACCAGCCCGACCAACATAGAGAAACCCCATCTCTACCAAAAATACAAAATTAGCTGGGCATGGTGGTGCATGCCTGTAATCCCAGCTACTCCGGAGGCTGAGGCAGGAGAATTGCTTGAACTGGGGAGGTGGAGGTTGCAGTGAGCCGAGATTGTACCATTGCACTCCAGCCTAGGCAGCAAGAGCTCGGTCTCAATAAAAAAAAAAAAGTCTATTAGTAGAAAAATGATAAAAATTCAAAAACTCAGTGAAAAACAAAAGCAATCCTCAGCTCCGTCCCAACACTCTGCTCACCTCCCTTGCATTTGATGAATCCGTAACAGGAGTTGAGCTTCTCTAGTTCAGAGCCACAGAGCAAACAGCCATCAAGGGCTTTTAAAGCTGCCATTTAAAACAAGTTCTTTGGGTTGACCAGAGGCCACATATCCATCAGTGGAAAATGCATCCTGTTCCCTCAATTTGCCTTTTATATGCCCATCAAATAAACAAGCATCAATTATTGTTAAATTGCCTAACTTGACATGATTGCCCCTCCCCCCACAACAATATTCCAGAGAGGAGCCGGTGAGAATACTGGACTCAGGCCCTGGCAGAAGAAAGGAGAGAGCAGAGGGTGGTGAAATTCCAGCAGTCCAGGGCTCAAGGCACCTGCAGACACTGCTGAATTCCCCAAGCTGCCAGGAAGGCAGCCGGACAGCCTCGGAGCAGGACAGGGCACCTCTGCCCAGTATATCACTGCTGCCCATGCCTCCTACGGTGGCTTTTCCCACTCCTGTCAGGTGCCTTCAGTAGCCCAATGGCTGGAATGCTGCCCCTTCATCCCTCATTCATGGAAGAAGGGCACTCCCCAGAGGCTGAGCCGTCAGGTCCCCTGGACTCAACCAGCTAAGAACCAACCCAGCCTGGCTATACAGGGTGTGAGGGGAGAGGCAAAAGTCTCTTGTCACATAGCAGAGGACTTGTTTTAACCTGCAGGCATCTCTATCTTTAGCATGAAGTTCCTTCCAGGGAAGAGAAACTTGGACAGAGGAAGAAAAAAGAGAGAGAGAGAGAAAATAACTGACTTGAAAAGAAGTAAGGCCTCTTCCTTAGAACCAGAAACAGCATTCACAAATCACAAACCCAGGCCTGATTTCTGGAAGTCTCCCTGGAAAGACCCCAAACTGGACCACAGGCGGAGGCATGGTGGAGAGACCTTACCCTCTGGTCTCTCAGTGTGGGCCTGGCTTTGTCCTCCAGCTGCATGGGGGTCACTGTTGTGCCAACAACATCCCCTCCTCCTTGGTCCTCTCTGCCCACATCAGATGTTCCGAGCTGCGGCAGCCCAACTCCCATGGTCCTACCCGCCTTCCCGGGACTTGCTCTCACCTCGCTGTCACTGACAACCGTGACACTGGGGCATTCCAGCCACCACCCATGGACTTCTCACAACAGCCCTCAGAAGTAGGCACACAGAACAGCACTGCGAGGCCAGCTCAGGCACAGGCCAATGCTGAGTCTGCCCAGAGTGAGTCAGAGAGTGGGATTCAGGCCTTCTGCCAGCCAGCACAGGGGCTGCAGCCCCTCCTCCCCGCCAGGACATCTCAGTCTGGCTCCAGAGAGTCTGAATAGTGAGTGGCATTGCACAGAAGTCACAGGCTAGGGCCCCAGCAGGCTGCACAGGCGTGATTGAGTCAGGCCAGGATGGGATCACCTCCCCCACACACCTGCTGACAAAGGCGCATTCAAGACAGGACAGACAGCAGTTCCAGCAGCAGAGACAGAAACCCAGAGCAGCTACCAGAATCCAGGCCCACGCCACCCTGCCCACAGCCACGCCACAGAACCAGGAAGCCCCCCTTGCTCTCTCTGCCTACCTGTTTAGAAGGACAGTTCAGCCTGCATGTTTCAACCTACAGGGAACTTTGCACAATTTCATATTGTCTCCCTTAGCGGTGGAAGTGGTGTGAGGATGAACCCTGACCCACGCGCCTGGATACCCAGAAACGTGCCCTACCTTTGGAAGAGGGGGCTGCTGACCCGACTCCATCTCTGTTTCAGGAAACATGTTGTCCCCTCCCTTCCCCCAGTGCATCCTCATCCTCACAGAGCCAAGGCCCACACCCCTTCCCACATAGGGCTGTCACCAATGTGTGTCCCCATGACACTATAGCTCCCTGGGAGCACAGGCACACCCTGGCCATCTCTGGATCCCCAGCACTGAGCACAGCAGAAGCTCAATAAATGTTGATGTGTGAATGAAAGGACACTTCAGCATCATTACCCCAGATGGTTAAAATGGAGTGGGCTGAGAGGCTGGAGGCTCAGAGGCCACCGCCATGGTCTGAGACACTGCAGCCCTTCAGGCGTGGGAAAGTGTGAGCCCCAGCCTCCCTGACTGGATTACATCAAATCCATTCTAAGCTCAGAACAACCTAAGGATCTGTAGGGAATTTTTCGGCATTTAAAACTTTCTAGGTATCCTCCATCCTCCAATGCCCCCTTTCTGCTCTCTGGGTTTCTCTCAAACCCCAACAACCAAAATGCTGAGAGGAATCAGCCTCTCTCCACTTCAGCTTTTAAGTGTCTCTCAGTCAGACCTCAGATGGGGTCAAATTCCTAGTTTCTAGACTCAACCAAAGCAACTGGGCAGACCAAGATGACGCGTGGTAATGAAGGGATGTGCAACTTGAAAGTGTGGGGTGCGCACTGGCATATGGGAGACAGGCGGGAAGGGCAACTGGGTGGCCACGCCTCCTGGCGGTGAGGACTCTTCCCCAGGCGTGTCACAGCACACGTGGTGCTCACTGGGCTTTCTCCACGAATCTGACACCGTGCCAGGCACCATGGGGAGAACAGACCTGTCATTGGGAGGGGAGGGTACAGTGGAGGGGAGGTGTGTCCATCCACAGCTAAAATGCAGGTGTGTGCTCTCAAGGAACAGCGCACAGGACATTCATGGTACAGGAGAATTATGTTTATTGGGGATTTTAATGCCTGTTTATTGGGAATATGGAAGAATTACTTGAAAGAATGAACACTTGGGAGGAGACTTGAAGGATGACGTAACAATAATAATGCCATTCTAATCATCATAATATGTCATTACTATCATTATTACGGCTGCCGATATCTACTGAGTGTTGACTCCATGCTGAGCCCTTTACACAGCTCAACTTGTACAGTCCCCACACTCATTTGACAGGTAAGGAAAATGAGGCTTAGGAAAGTGCAGAAATCTAGGAAGCATCAGAATCCAGGTTAGAATCCAAGTTTGTGTGCCTACAAAGACTGCCACCATCTATGTGGCACATTCCAGCAGTGCCTGAGCTCAGGCAGAGGGTGGGGCAGTACCAGGCTTTGGATGACCATCTGGAGAAGGTGCCTGCAGAGGTCGCTGCAGGCAGGTCACATTGAGCCTGGAGTGCCCGCACCAGGTGCCTGTGCTTATGAATAGGCACTGTTGGCTGGTGACTCATGCCTGTAATCCCAGCACTTTGGGAGGCTGAGACGGGTGGATGATCTGAGGTCAGGAGTTCAAGACCAGCCTCACCAACATGGAGAAACCCTGTCTCTACTAAAAATATAAAATAAGCTGGGAGTGGTGGTGCACACCTGTAATCCCAGCTACTCGGAGGGCTGAGGCAGGAGAATTGCTTGAACCTGGGAGGCAGAGGTGGCAGTGAGCCAAGATGGGGCCATTGCACTGTAGCCTGGGTAACAAGAGCAAAACTCCATTTCAAAAAAAAAAAAAAAAAAATAGTCACTGTCAAGCCTGGAGAGGTATTTGAACAGAGGAGACAAAACTGAGCCTAAGCTATAGCACCAGTGGGTAAAATGCAGTGGGCTGAGAGGGTGGACTCAGAGGTCTTCACCATGGTCTGAAAGACTGCAGCTCTTTGGGCAAGGTGAGAGGGCACGTGGGAATGTGTGAGCCCCAGCCTCCCTGTCGGGTGTGGAAGATTAGGTGTGCGGAAGGGAAGGTGTGTGTGTGTGAGTGTATACGTGATTGCATGGAGAGGCTCTTCCTATGGAGGACGAAGGTCGCAGAGCCTCCTAGTAGGAGGTGGACGTGAGGAGGGCAGTGGGGGAGGGGAAGGAACAGGACAAGCCCATTGATGTGCCTGAGCAGGAGGGCTCCAGTGAAGGAGAAACCTCAGAAGCCCTCAGGGTCTGCCTGCCCTATGGGAAGAACATTTATTAAAAGGGTGAAAGGGGGAGTTTGAAACCTTGACCTCTGGTCTCTCGACCCGGGCCCAGCTAGGTCCTCCAACTATGTGGGGGTCACTGTCATTCCAACTACATCCCTTCATCCTTGGCCCTGTCTGCCCACATCAGATATTCTGAGCTGGGGCAGCCCGACTCCCATGGCCCCAGCCCCCTTCCCAGGCTGTGTGCTTCCTCCCACATCTTTGTAACAAACATGTTACTGTGAAGCCTCCAAGCTGGCTTCATCCCCTCCCAGTTCAGGGCCTCTCCCTCCTCCACTCTTCTGGAGCAGAGACGATGCTGCCAAATTGGTTTCATGCTTTTGTTTCGGCCAGAGATGTCCTGCCTCTCATCAGGGACTGTGTCAGGGCACTGTGTTCCCGACCAGCCCCTCTTGTTGCAACTCTCCAGCTGGCCAGGGGTTCTCCCTGCAGAAGAGTTCATGGACCTCCAAAATGATGGCCCTGGGTCTCATCCTCTCCAGAGGGCAACTCTTTAAAGACGCCACCCAGTGCGCAGCCTGGCAGGAAAGACCAGGTAGACCGCAGCATCCAGGAGGAGCCGGCTCCTTCAGCCCTAAAGAAAATAGCTTGGTTTCAGCTTCTTGGGCACCTTCTACCATACTGGGTGAAAAGGAGGCTTTCTCCAGGGTAACCAGAGTCCAGCCCCTTCCTGCTCAGCTCAGCTGCTGCCCTGTATTGTAAATAATGAGCAGCATTTGGTATCTAGAGAGAAAAGGGATCTCTTTCAAGATTGTATAATCCACACAAATTTAGAAGACATGCCTTGGAAATCATGAATCTGAACCCCACTATTAACGGATGCGAAAACAGAGGTCTAAAATCTACAAGGCTTTCAGTTGCCGAAGAGCAGTCTAAGCCATTTCTGGATTTCACCAGAAGCCCAGTTTGCCTCCAAAGGGATATTTGCACAGTGAATGCATTTGCCTTTGGGTAGCATGGCAGCTCAGGGGCAGAGATGGGACTAGAACCTGGCCTTTCCACTCCAGGCTCCCTGCCTCCTTGAGGCTGTGCCCTTCATGACGGGTTTGCGTCCTCCAGGGTGCTCAGAAGATGATTTGTTCAAAGGTGAGTCTTGGGGGCTGCCTGGCACAGTCTACCATCCGGATGGCAGCCGACTAAGTCCAACAGGGCTGGGAAGAAGAGAGGAGGTGCTCTCATTTAGGGGAAACCTCGGTGGGCTGACTCCCCTAAGGCCGTCAGGGAGTTTCTGGGGTCTAGTAAATTGCTCCTTCTCCCCCTCCCTCCTTGCCACACTTTCCAGCCTTACCTTCCAAGAAAACATTGTAAAGCAGGCTCCCCAGCTGTTCCCACCCACTAGAGGACCCTCACTTTGGAAAGGAATCCCAGTCACCAGCTGACCAAAGGCTCTCCCTCCAAAGGCTTCCATCGACCCACTATCTCTGCTGGTGACTGAGAAAAGAAGGCAAGAGGTGCAGGACGGGCAGTGTGAAGGCCAAAATCCTGGCCAAGGAGTCCGAAGGCCTCAGCTACTACTGGCCATGTGACTGCTGAGCCTCAGTTTCCCTACTATGTCCCGACTGGGTGCTCCCTCAAGGCCTTTTTCAGCTCTGAGAAACCTAGGATTCCAATGTCAGGGATTGCGTCTCCCTCCTCACCTTCATGTCCCCAGCAATTAATACACAGTAGACACTTAAAACAGTTCCTTGAATGATTGAATGAAACGGGTCCTCAGGTCAGTCCAAAGATTCAGTGGAAGCCAGGAAGGAAATTCTTCCCCCAGGTGCCTACTGTCTGAGAACTGTAGAAGCCACAGGTCTTGGGAGAACCCTGGCAAGCCTGGAGCCCTTTACACACCTGCTTCCTCTTCTAGATGCACAGATCTGGTTAGAGGAGCCGAGCAAGAAGCAGGAAAATGTGTTGGGAGAGAGGCTGGCCTGACCCCCAGGCAACGGTGGGTAGCCCTAACTTTCGCTTTCTTGACTCCTGTGGCCCCTCTCCTTCCCTCTCTTCGTTCCCTTCCCCTTCCTGCCTCTCTGTCCTGCCCTCCTTGGCTTTCCTGGAAGAGTAACCACTTTTCCTTTTCTCCTTTGCGGGGGCTCAGAGCCTCCCATGGTCCCAGAGTCTGCCTTGATATTCTGCTGGTGAGGATGATTCCCAGAGCCTCGGGCTTTCTCTGGGTCAGGCAGAGAGCAGCAGCAGTGAAGAGATTGAAATTCTGGTCCGTGCCCAGCCTCTGGAGCGCAGCACCTGGGAAAGGCTCTTGTTAACGCCTGGAGCTCAGGACTAGGGCTTTTAGGAGGAGGGAAAAGGGCTGTGCCCACCCTTTATCCAGGCAGGGTTTAGGGAGGGGGTCTCCTTCTGAGGGAATCTGGCAGTGCGTTTTTCTCCACCTTCTTCTGCAGGGTTCCCAGGAAGATGTTAGGGTTTTCCCTGTGGGCTTCCTCTGCCTCCACATCTTCCCCTCTACGCCCCTAGGGAGATGCTGGATGAGGAAGGAAACTGCCCTCTCTCTCCCCTGCCTCAGCCCAGCCTGAGACTTATTTAGATGTACACTGTGTGTGTGTGTGTCTGTGTGTGTGTGCATGCAAAGTGCGAGTGTAGGGTGTCAGTGTAGCATTGTAGGTGGTGTGTGGTGTGGTATATATGCGGTGTGTTTGATGTGTATGTGTGTATATATGGTATGATGTATGTGTGGTGTGAGGGTGTGTTGATTGGGTAGTGTGGTATGCGTCTATATGTGTCTATGGGGTGGAGACGTGCAGTGTGTGTGAAGGGAGTGGTGTAAGGGGCCAATGCAGTTGGGTGTAGGAGCCACATATCCAGGTCTCCTAGCCAGGGATAACCAGTATCTAGGCAACCATATTGGGGGGAGGGGAGGAGATATGGAGGTGAGGAATGGGCAGGAAAAAAAAGGGAGGCTGAGAAATGGAGGGGTTTCCATGGCAACGACCAGGCAGGTCACATGCAAAAGGCTAAGTTGCGGACACAGACATACACATCCATAATATGAGGACGGCTGGATCCCCAGAGGGGGCTCCTTCTAGAGAGGGCCTGGGATGCCCACTGATCCATCTTCAAAGCTGGAAATCCCAGCCCAGCCAGAGAGCACGAAGCCACGGAGACAAAGGAAGTGAAGGCAGAGGCCACACTGATGGGGAAGAAGCCCCAGTAGCTACCCGAGCGTGCAGGCTTGCAGTAGGGGACGGGGCAGACCCATGTTTCCAGCGAGGCTGCTCCCAGCTCCCACCCTGGGGTGCCTCCTCCACCACTTGCAAGAGCCAGAAGCCAGAGCTGGGAGCCCCTGGCTGCACACCCAACTCTCCACGGAAGCCCGGGAGACACAATAGGGGAGGCTCTGCCAGGGCCAGCTCTGCTGGGGAAAGGGGCAATGGGCCCCCCCCCCCCAGGACCCCCAGGAAAGGAAACAGGATTGGATGGATAGACGAGAAGGAGAGGGGAAATGATGCAGTCTCCTGAATCCCCGAGCGCTAGAATCCTTCTTTCCCTGCGCCCCCATCCTGTGCCCACTGCCCAGCCCCACCTTCCCGAAGCACCAAACCAGCAAGTTCCATTTTGTGTCGCTCATGTGTCCACACTCACATCCAGCCACACGCCCTCGTCCGCAATTCCCCACGCTCCACCAAGTGTCCACAGCTTCCAAGTAACAAAGGGAAAACTCACGGATAAAGGGTGGCCGCAGCCCTTTCCCCTTCTCCCGAAAACCCTGGCCCCAAGCTCGAGGCAGCAGCAAGAGCAATTCCCAGCCCCCAGCGTCACCCCCAGCGCCAGAGCCTGCCTCCCCCAGAAGCTCCCCTCTCTTCCGACGCCGATCTTGTTTACATCCCCAGCCCGGTTTCCCGCTGCCCGCGGAGGACCGCACACACCCACTGAACAAACAAAACCCGGCGCTCCGGAGATCCGTCCCCACCGAGCCTCGCCCCTCCTCGGAAAGAGGAACCAACTTTGCCCACCTCCCCAGCCGCCTACCTGCACAGCCGGTCCCCTCCGAGACTCCCAGGAGGACCCTCCGAGTCCCGAGGAGCCTGGGAGTGGCGGGGCTGGGGGCAGGGCGGTGGGCGAGGCTCGAGCTGCTTTCCCGCCTCCCCACCTCCTAGGAGTCGGGGCGGGCTGGGAGGCGCGTCCTGCGGGGGCGGGGGCGAGGGCGGGGGCTCGCTCCGGGCTGGGCGCGGGGACCCCAGTCTCGTGCCGCCGTCCGCTGGCTTCTGGGTAGCGGCGGCGCGCAGACGACCCCCTCTCCTCCTCTCCCTGCCAGTCCTCCCGCTCCGGGCTCGCGCGCGTCCTCTGCTCCCTTCTCCTCTCGAGGGGGGCGGAGAGATTTTTCCAAAGGGCGGTCAGGCTCCGAGAAGCAACAGGAGACCGCCGCCGAGGGGGCGTGCTAGCGCCGGAGCGGATTTGCCATCAGCTGTTGCTTTTTGGTTTCCCTCCGGTTAGGGTGGGAAGGGAGCAAGGCAGACGCAATGGCAGAGCTGGTGTCTCTCGCAATAGTAAACTCCGAGGAACGGAAAAATAGGAGAAAATAACCCAGCACCAGACACAGCAGCCCACGTTAATTGGGAGCCTTGGTAATTAAGGGGAATATGAACCAAAAGCATGAATGGCTGTGTCGTGGGCGCAGGAGCCAGCTCCAGTTGTAGTTGTCATTTACAGCTAGAGCCAGGTGGGGAGCTGGGCGGACGGCCCTCACCTGAACTATACGTAGATCTGCGGCCAGGAACCCTCTTTTCAAGCCCCTTCCAACTCTGGCCCTGCCAGGAGCAGTACCGCCCCCTCCTTAGTCCAGTCCCCACGAGTCAAAATTCAAAATGACGAATTTTGAATGTGAAGATGTAAATCTTAGCTCGGCAATCCTGCCTGTGACGCGACGTGGAGCACATCTCTGCACTCAGCTTCTGAGTCTGTTTCCTCCCGTGGGAAAATGGTTATTAGAAGACTGACCCCATGGGAGTCATAGTGAGTGCTCAAGAAATTGACTCTTACTATTAGGGGCCAGAGCTTGTAGGAAGGGGCAGGGGCCAGGCACCGGTGGAAACCAAAGAAACACAAGTGTCCGGAGCCAGGAGCCATGCTGAGATGGAGGCTGTCCAGCCTCAGTCAAGGTGTGTGTATGGCGGGGCTGCGTGGAGGGGGTGGCTACTGAGAAAGGCTGTCACTGTCCAAGCCTGGGCAGGGCCATGGAGACTGCCTTACAAACCCCAAGCCGGGCACGATGGGCACTGCTAGGAAGAAACCTGGCCCTGCCTCTGCTACCCCCAGTTCTGCACCTGTTTTCTCATTTGTGAAATTCGGGAGATGGACTAGACGATCCTGACGTCTCTTCCAGCTCTGCCCTAGATGATTTGAATCACTTAAATAAATGGTCAGGTCTCAAAAGGCAGGAAATATACGTGAACTCAAGGAGGCTTTGGAACCAGTAGAGGAACCATAAATAGCTACTGAGGAAGAGTAGCCAAAGAGCCTCCCCTCACAGTTCTGACCCCTTAATCGTGGGACTTGGCTGAATGGATGCCACTCTGGCCCAGTCCTGAAGCCCCTGGGGTTTCTGTGAATGCTAAAACTCCTTCTCCAAAGCTAGACTCAAATCTTGCCCATCTGTGTGCCTAACCCTTCCATTCCTGTCTTTTCCTCTGTAAACGGAGGACTACATTACAATTGCCCTTTCATTTCCATGTGTTCTAAGTGGCAGATTGAAAACCACACCCCTTTCTAGGCCATGTCCTCGGGCAGGGACATTCATCCCTCCAAATGCCCTTGAATCCTGCCTTTTGGCCACCTCTCCGTGTTGCTTTTTAGAGCACCTACTGGTGATGACACATCAAGCCCAAGTTTTGCAAGCCTGTTTGGGAAAGGATAGTTCAGAACTCCAAAGCCAAGCCACCTTTTGGTTCAGCCCCGTTTCCAACCAGAGAGTTCCGAAGTGTTTGGCCCAGTGATTCCCCAGGTCCCCCTCCCTAATACTGACCAGCCCAGGCTGCAGAGGGATACCAAGAGCTAAATTTGCAAGAGGAACGGTCATGGCTTGCCTCTCAAATAGTACGTCTTCACGTTCCATCCAGGGGTACTGCTGGAGGAATTTGGGGTGTTACAGCTACAAAGCAGCACACAAGCTTGTTCTAGGGTGACTCACATCTCCCTTCTAGCAGGAAAAGAAACACATCTACCCCCTGTGAAAAATGTGGGCATCCGTAAAAAGAGGTCACCAGCTGCTCCATTCTTTCAACCATTTATGGGCAGGAGGAGCTACTCTTCACTGAGACCTGGGCCAAGATCTGTGGAGGGGGAAGATGTGGTCCCTGGGTGAGATAGAGATTCAGCAGATGTTCCCATGAATAAACGTGTAATTCAAACACAGTTCAGAGCCCTGAAGAGATAGCACTTGAGAAAGGTCAGGAGATGTTCAGATGAGGTAAAGAAGCCAAGAATTGGGGTGTCAGGGTGTGAAAGTGATTCTGTATCTGGAACAGAAGCAGTGTGTGCAAAGGCCCTGGGGCAGGAGGGGCATGATGTGAAAGGCGCCAATGTGGGATTGACCCAACAATTCCTGGTGATTCCAGCTTTTATCCTCAGGACAACGGGAAGCCGCTGATGGGCATCAAGAAAACTGTTCTGAGCACGAATTGGTGAGAGGCTGGCTTGGGACATTCCTGGCAGAATCTGCAAGTCAAGGTTCAGGGGGCTGTGTGGGGGCAGCACTAACATGAAGCTGAGAAATGAGCCTGCTCCCCACTAAAGAACCCTGCTCCTTTACAAGCCCAAGGCGCAAAGAGAGAGCTGGGGCAGGGCTGTGCATCCATGGAGAAAGCTGGATAAGAAAGTATGGAAACCATTCCTGAAACGCTCCCCACCCCTTGGAACTGGAACCATGGGAAGACCTGGAGCTGGGGAGGGCAGTACAACTGCTGGGAGCATAAGGGGCTGCCCTATGCTTTGAAGCTTGTTCTGAGCTAAGTAACTCACAGCCGTGCAGCTAGACTCCCATCTGGATAGCACTTGCCCCAGTTCCCTTATATTGTGGCAAAATAGCCCTTCTGCCTGTCAATGTCCTGGTCACACAGCCACAGACAGGTCATGGAGTGACCTCCTGTGTCCTGGTCACACAGGACAGGGAAGGCTTGAAGGGGAAATTAAAGGGGAGAGACCAGGAGCCTTAGAAGAGACGCTCTCCCCTCCTAGCAGGTATCCCTTCTAGATAGACACAGAAGGCAGTTGTGCCACTCATCCTGGGGTGAGGCTGCAGAAGGGAGCCGATCTTGCCCATTGACTGCTGCTTTGTGTTCATGGATACCCACTTAGCTTGGCACAGGTATAAATGTGTGGCCTCCCCACTCAGCCAAATGCCAAGCCCCCAACCCCTAGGACAGAACTGTTTCCTAGCTCCTTGGCTGAAACAGCTCTGCTCCCTTCCAAACCACTCCTTGATCCTGGGTGTCCCTTCCTGTCTCCCCAACCTTTCATTGTCAAACTCCTCCAGCTTCTCCCTCAGGCAGCTGTGTTGAGCCCTTGGTCACTTCATATACTTTCTGGACAATCTAAATCTACACCCAGGGTTTTACCACCCACTTAGGCTTGATGAGTCCACAATCTCCAGTCCAACCCTCTCCCCAGGAGACCCAGGCAAGAAATCCCAGGGAGTCAGCACCATCTACTCCCAATCCATCCTCCATATCCACTCTCTATCCATCCTCCAAATCCACTCTCTATCCATCTTCCCAATCCATCATCCCAATCCACTCCCTATCCATCCTCCCAGTCCACTCCCTATTCATCCTCCCAGCCCACTTCCAATCCCATCCTCCCAGCCCCCTCCCAATCCATCCTCCCAACCCACTCCCAATCCACTTCCAATCCATCCTCCCAACCCACTCTCAATCCATCCTCCCAGCTCACTTCCAATCCCATCCTCCCAGTCCACTCCCAATCCATCCTCCCAACCCACTCCCTATCCATCCTCCCAACCCACTGCCTATCCATCCTCCCATGCCTTGAAGCCACTCCCTCTTATGTCTTCCTTGAATTCATGAATGGCACTGCCCCCAACCCAGTTACCTTGCAAAACACATGCCATGCTCCGTCCTCTCCCCCAGTGCCTCCTTTCCTGCCCAACACTTCTGTTCTAGGTCAGGCCTCTGGCACCAGACTCCCATTGATGACTCTGCCATGGTCCCCCTACCTCTAGGTAGAGTTGTCTTCCACAATACAAATGTGATTCAAAACTTCAATGGCTCCCTATTTTCTACAAGTTAAAGTCCAAATTCTTAACACAACATTCAGTCTTTACCACCGGACACCCACCTGCCACTCCTGCTTCATCTCCTGATCCACTCCATGCCCTACTTCCCCCATCACTTTGTCACCCCAATCCTTGTAAATGCCATGTCCCAAACCAAAAGAGCAATACACAGTTATCCAAATATGCTGCCTGCTCCCTACCCGCAAATATTTGTTTACATAGTTTTCTTTGCTTGAAACATCCTCTGCCTCTTTTCTCTACTTACAAGAATTCTACCTATCCTGCAAAGCCAAATTCAAATATTACCTTATTAAAATGAAAGCTGTCTGGGCCGGGCACAGTGGCTCAAGCCTGTAATCCCAGCACTTTGGGAGGCCGCGGCAGGTGGATCACGAGGTCAAGAGATCGAGACCATCCTGGTCAACGTGGTGAAACCCCGTCTCTACTAAAAATACAAAAAATTAGCTGGGCATGGTGGCACGTGCCTGTAATCCCTACTCAGCTACTCAGGAGGCTGAGGCAGGAGAATTGCCTGAACCCGGGAGGCGGAGGTTACAGTGAGCTGAGATCACGCCATTGCACTCCAGCCTGGGCAACAAGAGCGAAACTCCGTCTCAAAAAAAAAAAAAAAAAGAGAGAGAGAAAGCTGTCTTATCCATGTTGTAACTAACAGCATTGTGTCTTTTCATTTATAATTGCACTTACCAGAGCTTGAACTTTGCTGTTTAATTGCATGTCTGCTGCCTGAATAGAATGGGAACTCCTTAAGGTAAAACGTGACATCTCACTCCACTTACAGACCCCGCTATCGTGCGTGGTGACCCACTTATAAGTCGGTGAATTTAAGTGAATTGTAGTTGTTGACTTGAAGGCCCCTGCATGGTCTTGCACCAACCAACTTCTCCACATTCATTTTGATCTCCAGCCAGCAACCTCCCATCTTAATCAGAGGTCTTAGCCATCAATCTTCAGAGAGTCTTCAGAACTGGTTCCCTGAGCACTGATACCCTGGGCCAAGAACACACCTGTGAAATTCACTAGCTTTGCTTTCTCTTGCCAAGATGAAGGGAGGAAATAGTTGGTGCTATTGAAGCCACAGGCAGAGGAGAGATGGATAGTGAGCCTCACAGGGCTCTGATCGTTTCCAGATGAAGGCCTTCTTCTAAAGGGTGAGTCCTGGGGACCTCCCAGGCCAGGCTGCTTCCAGAGGAAGAGCAGGCAACCCTCACGCTGACCTGGAGAATGAAAAGCAGGTCTTCTCTGACTGCACACGGAGCTGTCAGGAGAGGGTGGCAGATGCTGCTTGGTGTCTAGTCAGCTTTAATTATCTTCTTTT